GGCGGGACTGCCTATCGCACTCTGCCAGGCGCCCGGCGGGTAGGCAGCGGCGTGACGCCACAGCCCTGTGGGACTGCCTATCGCACTCTGTAAATCCCGGGTGTCCAGCAGGTGGGTGACCTCAAGATTTACAGTTTACCCTGCCTCGCTAGCACGTACCCTGCTGTTCGGTGAAATATTTCGTCTTATAAAGACGGTAGGCTTTCATGTGAGCGAGGGTCGTATGGTGCATGCAGCGGTGAATGTCGACCTGCTCTGGCTTTAACACTCCCCCCAACACGAAGAGCATGTTGAAGTACATGCAGTACTGGTTTGGTTCGTTGAGAGTAGTCCAATATTTCACCTGAGGGGCAGAATAGTGAGAGATTTCAATGTATAGCCTGTTCTTAGAACAAGGGCATAAAAACGTTAGGTGGTTAGGGTACTGACTTTCTTTCCAAACTCATTAAAGACAAAGTCGGCGTATTCCACAAATTTTGCGACCATCCTGTTGTCCTCCCAACCGAAAAATTCATCCTGGAGGCTTTGGGGGTGGTCAAAGTGGTACAGTGTGACCTGCAAACGACAAAGATTTTGCAACGCAATGTGACACAAGAAAAGGTGAACGATTGGTCGGTGATGGTCGCCTTTCCTTACCATGGGTATCATGTTTGCTTCGATGATCTTGTCTAGAAGCGCGTGGTAGTATGCCACTCCTTCCTTATTGGGGTTCTTGGAGTCCGTGTCCGGAAGCAGTCGAGCCCACGATATAGAGAAGCGGAACACCTTTAGCTGTCGGCGGAGAAAAAACGGTTTGTGTCGAGCAAAAAAAAAAAAAAAAAGAAATCACAACAAAAACAACAAAAAACACCTAGTGGGACAGTAAAAATTTCCTGTAAAAAAAAAAACTTTGAGAAAAACTCGTCGCATTTTGAGAAAGTTGATGTTTTTCAATTTTGAAACAATTGCCATATTTTTGGAGGAATTTTCCTTACATTATGTGTGCTCTTCAAACTTTTCCCTTTGCCCCCCCCCCCCCCGAACCGTTTTCACCGCACAGTTAAAGTCTTACGAAGCAAAATGCCAAATGCTTCGTACCTACGAAGGATTTTCTCCTTACGAAGCGTCCAAATCCTTCGTATTACAAAGGATTTGGCATTTTTCTTCGTAAGACTAACAGTGCGTGCGGCCGGCCGGTGAAGAGACAGTTCAAGCTCAAATAGTAAAACACAAAATAGTACTGGCGCAAAGTCAAAGAACTGTTATCTTCAACTCTCGCGCTTAAACTGCAATAATAAGAACTGAATACCGACTAATCTGAGCTGCAACGTTAATCGACAAACTCAAAACTAGAACGATAATATTTATCATCACGGGGAAATATATAACGTTTGGGTAGAGACAGCCGGTATGGACTATATCTAATATAGGCTAGGGAATATTCGCCGCGCTATCCAGAAAATGGAGCTTTCGGATTAGGAGGAGGAGGGGATGATTGACATACTTTCAGTTGTTTTGCCATGTTCACGTCTTCCGCGTATCGATGGTAAGAGTCTGCCGCCACGTCATGGCTGCCTTGAGTTGTGAAAATGGGTGTGTGCAGCAGCCTATCAGCAGCGCTTTCTTTCTTCCCTGGAATAATGCACATTAACGTTTGACGCTTAATCCAAGTTACTATTATTTTCACAATTGCGCGTTCAACCGCGCTCCACTCACCAGACGTATTCCACGCGCCCTCCGTCTGAACGGCGGAGACCCCGGCCCCGAACAGGAAGCCCTCGGGGAGAGTGTACCGAGCCTCGTCGCCGTCGTCTGCGACTCCAGAGCCCGCGGCGGCGGCGGCCCCCGCGGAGGCGCTGGCCGCGAGCAGAGCCGCGACGAGGTAGAGCGTGGCGGCAGCCATGGAGGTGGACACGGGAGTGAGCGAGGAGCCCAGCTGCCCGCCGTGCTCAAGAGGACAAAATCAGAGAGATAATGGACGGGGTGCGGCCGTCAACGACGTAGGCGTGATTGCTTGCGTCGAGGCGGCGTGGATGTGCGTGCTTTTGCCACTACCAGACCGCATCCCCGTACTTGACCCTTGAACAGCGTGATTTGCCGGTGCTCCCAAGCCGCCACCCGCCTGGTGCCTCGGGCATCGGCCGGTTGGTATATCGCTTGGGCACTTGAGCACCCGCGATAGTCGCGCTATTATTAAAAGAGTTCCGGCGGCGTCGTCCTGCTTGGACGGGCTTGGGCTTGAATCACCAATTAAAATCAGGAGTAACCTCACGACGAAAAATAATCCAAGCTATTGAACAACTTCTCGATTTAGTTGGACAGGGCAGGGAGCGCATATTTTCCTGTTTGAAGTGTCGAGTACCTTCAGAGAATTTTATATTCATGGTCAATTTGCTAAAAACAACAACAATTATAACAATTTCATAGAAGTCGTGTCTTTTGTTAAACTGCAACAACTACGCGAACTGTCGGAATGAGTGAGTCGTCTTGGACACTATCTGCAGTCCAAGACACATCGCTTTACTGACGTTTTAAATGACATATCATAGCATGCCTCGCAGTTTGTGTATAGCATAGCATAACTAATGATTTGCACAGACGACGTTTCTTAGAAGCCAGCGAAAGACTTTTGTCATACTGACGTGCATGGACAGTCCACAGTACTTCGATTTGTGCTTTTCCTTTAGATAGCGAGACAGCACGGCACTTGGGGAAGTGGGCACCTCTCCACTTGCCCGCCCCTCTGCAGTGACATCAAATTATCACCAGACTTCAGACTTCAGAACAGAGACCGAATCGCTCTACGCGAGGGTGCCGCACCTGGACACAGTCGCGATTTCTCGAAATGTATGAGCTTGCTGGTAGGGGGTGCCGAGAAGATGACAACTGCATGCCCTCCTGCACTCACCACCGCACTGCTCCACAGCCGCGATTTTACGGTGCATGGTGAATGCTTGGTGCGTTCATGCGATGCGAGGTGAGGTGCGATGTGGGATTTGAGATGCGATGAAGTGCATCAGGTCTATTACATTCACCACCAGGGATGGCGATGGCGCTCTCCCCGCGCTCGCGCGTCTAGACGGTGCTCCGTTCCCCCTCTCCTCGGGCGAGGGGGGTGAACGGAGCAGCGTCTAAACGCGCGAGCGCGGGGAGAGCGCCATCCCTGGTGGTGAATGTAATAGACCTGCAAGATGCGATGCGTGCCGTCGCGCGCAGTACACACTGGTGCATGGCAAGGAAGATGTTGCCTACCAGGCGTTATGAGACCTTAGCTGAACGTGGCCGTTTCGTAACAGCCGCCTAGATGGTAGGCAACATCTTGCCTGCCGTGCATATGAGTACTGCGGGGTGGCCTACCCCGAGTCTTGCAGGCGTTGAGCTCTTGTATTGGGCATTTTCTTAGCCACACTGAAAAGGCAGAGTCACGCGCGTCACTCGTGGAGAAGCAACTCATCACTCATCGTTTCAAAAACTTTCGAGAATAATGTAGTTTGGAATGTCACAGGAACAAATCCTCTCCCCGCAATGCCGCCCCCCTCCCCAACCCCAGCGAGCGAGCAGCCAGTGTCCCGGGGAAGCCTCCAAAGCACCATCCTGGGAATCGATCTAGATATTCGTTGCATTTTTACCACTTTTGTTACGTGGGAAAAAGAAATTCATTGAGTATAAATACACTAATTCGAAACGGGCAAGGGAAAGCGACAGCGACAACGACAGCGATACCCGACCACGGGTAAGTATACCTGTGTACTTTGTACTAGGGGGTAGCGGGTGGTGAGAGCAACAGCGAGGCCACATAGCGACGTCATGTTAAATCAAAGGCACCAAAAATGAGCCGCAATAAGGAATGTGTTGAAACCTCTGACGGCATTAGTTAGCTACACACTCTAATGATAGCGCCCGCGAGCGCGCTGGATAGACCAACCCGCCAAGCTGCAGCCTGTGGCCGGTGGTGGCCGGGCTCACCCACCCGCCCACCCACCCTGCTGAGCGCTCAGGCTCGGGCAATGGTAAGTTGACACCCACAAAAAAGGAAAGGGAGAAGTGGTTTGACATATTTCGATTTTTGGCACTGCAGGTGTATATTATTTCCTTGTTTTTGTCGAAACGACGGAAAACGTCTTGAGATGGCATGGTTATCAGCGCCAGCGCGCCCTAGCGGCCACAACTCGCAATATCCACTATTCACAAACGTCTACTGGAGGCTGGAGTGCAAATAAGCAACTACCGGCAAGTGCTCACTGAAGGCAAGAACAATAGAGTGCTGAAGGCTCATCTCCAATTTCAAATGTTGTTCTACCGCTCTCAGCGTGTTACAGTAAAGATAACAGTGACAAGCGAAACGATCGCGAAATCCGCACTTTGTTGCATGATCTTTAAATAGCAAACAAAAATATGGAGAAGTTGTTTTCTCCTGAGACATTTTCCTTTCCATTCTCTCCATACCCAATCCAAAAAGATTTCATGACAGCTCTCTATACTGCTCTAGAAGATGGAAAACTAGGAATATTTGAGAGTCCAACGGGAACTGTGAGTATTTGTCATGATTTATGATGAGCTGTGACTAATTCTATTTCTTCACTCCTTTCTTATTCAACTGATTCACTTTGTCCAGGGTAAATCATTAAGTTTGATATGTGGGGCGTTGACTTGGTTGTGTGATCATGAGAGAAACGAACATGAGAAGCTGGAGTCCATTCTGAAATCTTCGAATGATAATGCATCTGAACAGAATGGATCTAATGAAGATCCATTTAGCTGGCTTAATCAACAAGCGGAGGAAGTACAAGCTCGTCAGAAAAAAGCTGAAGCAAAACTCAAGTTGGACTTGCTTAATAAGCACAGTGCTAAACTCAGTAAAATTAGAAAAGAAAGCATGCAAAGGGTATAAATAAGTAACCTCTTAAAATTTTTCTCTTTACAATAATTTAAACTCTGAATAAATAGCTTTATTAATTGTATTTTAGAAACTTAAACACCATCAAGAGGATAGATCAACTGAAACCAATCAACGTTTTCAAAATTTAAAACAACGTACTAATGAAAGCACTGTGAAAGAGAGTGAGAACGTAGATGAAGATGAGGATCTGCTGTTAGAGGAATATGATGTTTCAGTTAGTGAAGAAGCATCTGATGAAGAGGACAGTAACGATGGCCCACACCACACCAAGGTAGCATGAATTTTTGTAATGTTTCGTCACAAGTCAGTCATAGTTCTATTATAATTAACCAAGGAAAGTGTAGATATACTTTTGCAGCAGAACTCACTCTCAATTAGCTCAATTTATTGGTGAAATTCAGAGGAGTTCTTTTGGTGAGAATATCCGAGTTGTGCCATTGGCTTCTAGACAAAACAGCTGTATCAATGAAAGTATTAACAAGTTGAAAAATCTTTCTCTCATCAATGAGAAGTACATACTTGACTTCACTGACATATTACTGAAGTTTGGTTTCCAAATTAGGCTACATTAATTTTGTTTTTCTTATGCTTTTTCAGATGTCTAGATCTTCAAAGGAAAAACCACAAAGTTACTTCCACATCTTCTGATGGGCAAGTTTCTAAAAAAGCTAGGAAAAGTGGAGGTACATCAGGATGTCCTGCTATGAATCGAAACAATGTTCAATTATTATCAGAAGATATTTTGACTGAAGTACAGGATATTGAACAAATAGTAAAACTAGGAAAGGAAAATAAAGCATGTCCTTACTATGCAACCAGAGCATCTGTTGCTGATGCTCAAGTACGTTAATTATCATTCCACCAAATATCTTGCTCAGCTTACCTACATTTACTATCTAGTTTTCTGTCTGTTTTTGTAGGTTGTTGTAGTCCCGTATAACACCATACTCCACAAATCTACACGAGAGGCCTGTGGAATCCAATTAAAGAATAATGTTATTATAATAGATGAAGCACATAATCTTCTTGAAGCCATAGGAAACATTCATAGTGCTCAAGTTTCTGGGTACCAGGTATGTACCTACTTAGATATTTAATTAACTCAAACATGTTTCACATCCACACTGTTATGTAAGGATTGAATTTTTTTCAGCTATCACGTGCACATTGTCAATTGCTACAATATAGGGATAAATATCAGAAACGATTCAATCCCAAGACCCTTCTTCATCTCGGGCAATTAATATTTGTGCTTGGAAAGTTGACTAAAATCCTAGGCATGTATACTTATCTATCTAAGGAGGTTCACTACTTTTATAGAAATCTTTAGCACTCCTGACATGTGATACATGATATATTTTACAGGTGGCAAAGCAGGGGGAAATCCAGATGATGCTATTTCAAATGTTCTAGAGAATAAAATTTTTACCTTGCCAGAATTTGTTTTGTCAGCAGAAATAGATAATTTGAACCTTTTCAAACTTTTAGAATTCTGCAAAAGTAGCAAAATATCTCACAAGGTTAGGACAGATTGATAATTTTGTCCCATGATTTGTACGTACTTCACTATAAAAAACACCAACTTATTTGTTGCATGTTTTAGTTACATGGCTTCAGTGCTCGTTATGAAACTACAGTAAATATTTCTAAACCTGTCAACAAAAACCAGGGGATGAGGGAATTCCTGAAAGAGATGGCATCGAAAAATTCTAAGAATGCAGAGATAAGACAAAGTGGTAAATTATTTACTCAAAATGTTTGTTATTAGTAAAATTTAAATTTGAGTTTCAACAAGTTCCATATTCTACTTAATTTTATCTTCATCTTAATTGCAGTTGAAGAGACTAAAATTTCTACTCCTCAAGTAGTTAGCGCGGAGGGAGGAAACAATCCAATTTTATCTGTTGTAGCCTTCATGGAAACTCTCACAAATAGTTCTGATGATGGACGCATATTGCTGAAGAGGGGGCAAACAGTCGGAAAAGGTGTTTTAAAATTTTTATTACTGAATCCTGCTGCTCATTTTCAGGATATTGTTCTCCAAGCAAGGTAGAACTCTTCTGTATTTTACATTTCTTATTAATCACAGCAGTGTTGTACCAACACTAAAGTTTTCTTCTATTCTTAGATCAGTTATTGTAGCTGGAGGTACCATGCAACCTATTTCAGAATTTCAAGATCAGCTCTTTTTATGTGCAGGAGGTAGCCTTGATCGAATAAGTACTTTTTCATGTGGGCATATCATTCCCCCTGAAAACATTCTACCTATTACATTAGGGTCAGGACCAAGTGGGAAACCTTTTGACTTTTCTTATGCTCAAAGGGATTCAAAGGCTATGGTATATTTTCAATATCAATTGAACGTTGTTAAGTAAAACACTTCCAGTTCTCTTGATTAACTGTCATAATCTAATTCCTCAGGTAAATGAAATGGGGCGGCTGCTTACAAACATCTGCAATTTTATTCCAGCAGGCATTGTCTGTTTCTTTCCTTCCTATGACTATGAAAAATATGTTATTGACCATTTTGAGAAAACTGGTGTTATCAGTCAAATTGAATCCAAAAAAAAGGTCAGACTGTCAAACTGTCACTTCCTTGGTGTTTGAAGTAAGCCTTGTTTTCATCTCATAAGTCTTTCCTTTTCAGATATTTCGAGAGCCAAAACAGTCCAGTGAAGTTGATGAAGTTTTGACTTCTTTTGCTACTTGTATTAGGCGCTCTAAATCTCCTTCTGATAGCAAAGTTACAGGAGCAATTTTATTTAGTGTTATTGGTAAAGTATATTCTCTTCTTCACTGTCTTTCTTGATTTGAAAAATATGGCTCAATCTTTCTTCCTGTTGTAGGTGGCAAGTTAAGTGAAGGCCTTAATTTCAGTGACGATTTAGGTCGTTGTGTAGTGGTGGTGGGCCTTCCATTCCCTAATATCAAGTCAGTTGAACTACAGGAACAAATGAAATTCCTTGATACTACAGTGGTAATTTATGTTTTGGCCTCTCCAATGCATTGTTTTTTTTTTCTCATATGTAAAATTAATAAATTAAATTTAAATCTCTCAAGGGAAGAGGTGGTGGTCAAAGGCACTATGAAAATTTGTGTATGAAAGCTGTGAATCAATCAATTGGAAGAGCTGTGCGACACAAAGATGATTATGCAGCTGTATTATTGCTTGACCAAAGATATTTGCAGAAAAGCCGGCAAACTGCTCTTCCTTCATGGATTCAACGTTCTCTTGAATCACATGAACGCTTTGGTTCTGCATTTGCATCATTAAGAAAGGTAACATTTCTATAACAAATCCTTCCTCCTGACATGGATTTACTTCAATAGAGTTTTTCTATTTATTTCATAATTTGTTCCATAATTTGTTCCAGTTTTTCAATGCTAGGAAGAGTTGAATCTACAACACTTGTTTTCAACTGACAGTTAAAAAGCACAAATTTTACAAATATTGGGATAGCTCACAAAAATTTTAATTACAAAATTATTATTTTTACTTGTTCATGTTTTTTATTGATCAATCGATACAAAAATACATAAGGTTATAAATCACATAGCCAGCGTACTGAATTTCTCATCCATTAATTCCATTCACTTTTTCTTCAAAGTAGCGAGGTACATTTCTAGACCTTTTTGAATTTTAGGTTGGGTCACCAAATCCATAAATATTTGCAAATCATCAATCATATTGTCTTCCATGTATCTTATGCCTTCACCACGCACTGATTCTTTTGTTAATTTCCTTGCCAGTGCTGTAAAAATATTATAGTTTTAATTCTCTTTATGCATCTGCCATGAATATTAAAAGAAAGCAAACTGTACTTACGGGGAATTTTAGCAAATTGAGTAATGAACTTTTGAGCTTCTGCCATTGCTTCAGCTTTGTTTGAAACCATTGAATCTATCAAACCAATTTTCAAGGCCTCTGGTGCAGAAAAGAGGCGACCCGTTGTGAGTGCCAATTCAGTTTGTCTATGGCCAATGACATCTCGCATGCAGATAACAAACCTACCCAGACAAAAGTCAATTATTATTTTAGTGGGTTAAGTACACTTTGTGTGATAAATAGAAGAGGGGAGCAGTGAAACCTACCATGGTGGTGCAACTATTCCAAGTTGAGTTTCATTTAATCCAATCGAGAATTTTGGTCCCACCATAACTCTGTACTCGCATGAAAGTGCTAAGAGACATCCCCCAGCTGGAGAGTGACCCTTCAAATAAATAGATTTCAAAAATTAAATTTTAAATTAATTTCTGTTGCTTGTTTTGAACTTTAAAGGTACTTGCAATATCTTACATTGATAGCAGCAACAGTTGGGAAGGATGATCTGTAGAGAGAGAGCCACGTGCTCTGCAAAGTGGTCCAAAATGCCGAAAGCTGATCCTTCGGAGTGTTGTACATCTCCAAGATATCAAGTCCTGCACTGAAGACTGTATCGGAAGACTATAAAGTTGGAAGAAAAAATTAAAGGTAGCACCTAGTAGGTGGCTAAAGAAAGATTTGAAAGCACAAGTAATCCTACTGAAGTTAAAATCATTCCTCTTGATTTGTTGTCCTCAAGATTTTTAATGGCTGCTCCTAGTTCAGTGAGAAGTGGAGTGTTCAAGCTGTTTACAGGTGGTCGATTCAGAGTAACAACAGCAACTCCTGCAAAAATCAAATCAACCAACTGAAGTCAGTTGAATTTTACAAATTTCAATTTCATAGGTCTTTATTTCTTCACTATAAAGTACCTGATTTGTCATCAACTTCGACGTTCACCAAGGGTACTACAGGTGCAGGTGGCTTTTGTGAATATAATCGGAGAGAATTGGATACACTTCTTGTAAGAATCGCATTCTGTGTCAATGCTTTCCAGCTGCGATAAACTACCGCCATCGTGCTGACAACCTGTGTGAGATTTGTGTAAGATATTGTGATTGCAGAACAAAGTACTTAACTAAAGTTAAATTTGAGTTCCATATTATATTAATTAAAAATTATGGGTGGTTAAATAAATGTCAGTCAGTGGAAGTATAGGTACCAGTAAAGAAAACCTGCAAAAATTTGAACCCAAACTTACGAAATATTCTGCTTGTTGATAGACAAGATGCAAAAATAATTCGCTGTTAAAATGGCCGGGCGACTTGTATGCACAGTGCAGAGTCCAAGAGTTCACAAGAGTTGTCAAACGTCTACGACGAACTCTCTTCTTCTACCTCCACCTGTAAACAGCTGTTGTTGGCAGTTCCCAGACAAAAGAAGAAGATATGAAAAATACACAATTCGTAAAAGGCATCCACATCCGAGATGACAGAAAATTTCAACGAAATCCGCGATTTGTGTCCACCGTGAAGGATACTTGGTTCATACTTACATCTGTAGTTCTCTTTTGGTCGTGTCTTGTGGCTCCTCGTCTAGTCGGATTAGCACCGGCTAACCATTTGGGCCTAAAGTGACTGTACGACGTACGACTGTGATTGTCATGACGGGGCGCATGACCTGCGGATCGGAAAACGCGCCATATGCCGTGTGGCGCCGCTGGCGCCAGTGGCCGGCAACGCAACTAGGGCCCCCCGGGGCGTGCGTGGCGGCGGCAAGTATGACTCGAGGCGCGGGGCGAGCCGAGCCAGTCGGGCGGCCGAGGGTCCAGCAGAGACCCTATCGAGTGGGACTTGCCCATACCCTTCTTCTGGAGGACTAGAAAATAGGAGAGTAATCAGATCTGCGGTGCGGATTTTATGTTGGGTTACACTGTAAAAAGTATTTTACGACAATATATCATAAGTGTCAATTTAAGAAATATTTCGCAAAGTTCCAAATATATTTCGTAACGAGTGCAAATTTTGGGGTCAAAAGTCGTAAAATTTGACAAAATATTCAAATTTCATACTTTTTAGCTTTAGCTAAAGGATGGAAGTAACCTCTATCACTATAGAGCTTTGGATTTTACAAAGCAATTCGTGAAATAACGATGTCTGGTAATTTGTGAAAAACAAAACAATAGTTTTTGTAAATAGAAAATTAACCGAGAGAATTTCGTAAAAGGGTCCACGATAATTGATTCCCAGTGAGGAGTCTTTGATTAAGGTGTATTAAACGGAGAGGCCAAGTAGACGTCTAATAGACGTCGATTTAGAATCTTATGGTCAAAATATCGAGCAAAAAATCGATGTCGTTTCGACTCCCGATGTCCAGTTGACGTCGAATCGACAAACCTTGGCCACTGGCTTAAGTTTTGCAAAAAGCATTTCACCACCAGGTCTCGAGGCCTTCCCGAAAATGGTTTCCAATGGCCGATTTTTGTCGTGCTTTATTGATTATACGATATATTGAGGATAGAAATTCATAGATGGTAGGGTTGAAGGCGGAATGTCTGTGTGTGTGTGTGTGTGTGTGTGTGTGTGTGTGTGTGTGTGTGTGTGAGAGAGAGAGAG